TTGATGGTCTAACAGGCCCTTCTATTTATACTAGCCAGAGGAGGCCCATGAGACTGATGGTCTGAGAGGCCCTTCTATTCAAACTAGGCAGATGAGGCCCCTGAGAATGATAGTCGGAAGAGCCATGCGGCGGCAACTGGCCGTGGCCATATTTCGGCTCGGTAGGGCCCCACAGAGCTCATGAGAGCACCTCAAGGGCTCCTAAGTAGACACGCTTATACCCATAAGGGTGCCACGCCGGCTTCTGAAGGCTCCTTGTAGGCATCTAAGGGCCCTTTCCGGCCTCTAACGGCTCCACCCGCCTGTGATGGCTCCACACCAGTGTTTATGAGCGCCACACAGCGGCGCCTTTGAGGGTCATACTAGTGTCTCTTAGGGCCCTATTATATCGGTGGCTCTGGGGGCCCCACACCGGCGCCTCTGTGGGCCACCACACCTGTGCATCTCAAGGCTCTATATGTACATCTAAAGGACCCACACCGACACCTCTGAGGGCCCCACACCAGTATCTCGGTGCTCTGAAGGCCCCACACCGGTGACTCTGAGGACTCACCGGCTCCTGAGAGCACCATGTTGATGTCTAACGGCTCCACAAGGCCACTGAAGGCACCACACAAACTCTTACTGAGCTCTAATGTCCATGCACCGGCCTCTGAGGGATTTAAGCCAGCGCATTCGTAGCTCCACACCAGCAATTGTAAGGGCTTCACACTGAAGTATCTGAGGGTTCCACACCGGTGTCTCTAAGGGTCACATACCGGCATCTCTGAGGGCCCCATACCGGCGTCTCCGAGGGTCCACATCTGGCGGGTACCCATCAGCGACTGAAGGTCCCACACTGTCGACTCCGAGAGCCCCATCTGCGTCTGGGAGCACCATGCCGTCTCTAAGAACCACAGCGGCTCCTCCGTACGAAAGATGGGCGTCTGCATGCCAAAGGGGAGCGGTTCTGAGACAGTAGGGCACCTACATGCAATAGAGGGGCGCCTATGAAGCCCATAGGGGCGCCTCAATGCGAAAGAGGGGCGCCTCTGAGGCCTACATATATGGGCGTCCACATGCAATAGAGGTCTGCAAATTGCAATTGATCAATGCCATGGGGGTGCATTCATAAGAAACAGGGGCGCCGGCATGGCAAAGAGAGGCGCCTTCAAGTGTCCATAAAAGAGAGACGCCTATGATAAGCGCACATTGTACAGGGTGACACAAAAAAGCGGTCATCACCAAAATTCGAATAACTTCGGAAGTTTTATTCAGATCATCACCAAACTTCGGCCACTTTAGGTCACACCTACGTATCAGACATCCACCAAGTTTCAAGTCTTCACTACGAATACTTTTAGTACAGTGTGTGTTTTACGGACGCTCCACAATGTGCTCCAGGTGAGCGCCCCGGCGCTGCAGGGCGAAGGCACACCTGCATCCGGCGGGCAAAGTTGCCGATAACCCGATAAGAATAACGTTTCAGGGGTAGCACACCCCCTGAGCACTGTCTCCAGAGGCCATTGCACTCTGTAAAGTGCACAGCCATCGCCTAAAGGCGCCTATGAAGCTAACATTTGTGTAAGGGTTTTCAGGGGTCATGCGCCGTTTGCGGCAAATAGATTCTAAAAAAAAATCGGAGGGGGAAGAAGTTTTAAAAATGGTGCGGACTTTCCGCACTGTTCGCTTTAAGGTGCCCTGACACTTGCACGACTTTTGGTCACGATTTTGTCGTGGCAAGCCGTGCCATTTTCGTGCACGAACTGGGATGGCTCCCGCACTGTTCACGACTAGTGCACGACCAGTTCACGACGATTTCACGAATAATTCACGAATGCGTGCCCATCAGTGTCCACATTGACACGGACTGGCACGACGAGTTCACGCATACTTTCCGCATAGTTTGCGCATAGTTTACGCACTTCCCGCATTGGCACGACAAGTTTGCGTAAGTTGTGCCGACTTGGGCATGCCATATAAAAATGGGACCTCCCATTTACCAGTTTCTCCGTGTCCTGGCCTGACCCATCGTGAGCTCCAGTGACGCAAGTGTCCTGACCGTACTCAATGTGACCAGTTTGACCTGGACTGACCTATCGTGACTTTGGCTGACCTCTGTGACCTGGCGTAACCCATCGTGACCTCATGGTGACCTCTGTGACCTAACCTGACACGGTGTGACCTAATTTGACCTCTGTGGTCTAGCCTGAGCCCGTGTGACCTAGTTTGACCTCTTTGACCTGAAATGACCCGTTAAATACATTTTCGGTCATAACTTCCCATCTAGGCGTCCAATCGACTCGGGAAAAACACCAAACAATCCCAAATTTTGCGCTGCGAAGCAAGCCGAGATCCACACATTGGCAAGGGCTGGTACGACGAGTTTACGAATACTTTCCGCATAGTTTGCGCATAGCTTACGCACTTCCCGCACCGTCCCGACGAGTTCACGACGAGTTCACGAACAGTTTGCGCATAGTTCACGATCCGGTCACGAAATTTTGTCGTGACCAAAACTTTGAACATTTCAAAGTTCTCGCCCCGACATGGCACGAAGTCCCGACGAGCTAACGCACACTTCACGTCAGTTTACGACTAGTATGCGCACTAACCCGCGCCCCACTGGGGGGGGGCTATTTATAGCCCCCCCTCCCGTTTTTCTGCAATAACTTCCAAACCGCTTGACAAATCGACGCCAAACTTTCAGTACCTTCGGCTGCATCAATTTGACACCTTGTGTCAAAATTTCAACTTCGTAGCTACCATAGGTCGGCCGGAAATGACGTCAGAGTGACGTCATGTTCGTCCGATTTCGACGCAAAACATTGAACCACGGCAATCGCTCCCAAGAGCTCAGTTTTTAAGCTAGATCCAATTTCTTTGCATGAAATAACTCAGAATTGACCGCGCTATCAAACTGCTATCTCGGATTTTCAAAATTTTGAAAATTTCGAAAATTTTATATAATAATATTCAAAATTTATATTTTTATATTTTTTTCAAAAAGTTTTTGACTTTTCGAAAAAACCGGAATATATGTGACAGAACGCATGATTATGACTAACTCTAGCAAGTTTTAGCTAAATATCTTCAAAAATGGCCAAGTTATACGCATTATTGCAAAAAATTCACAATTATTAATTTTTCAAATCAATTTTTCAGTACGTATTTGGCATCGTACACCAATATAAATGGCACCATCGTGTTACTGAGCTCAAACTGCATCCAATAGACACCTTTTTTGTTGAAAAATTTCAACTTCAAAATTTGACCTTTTTTGACCTGAAAGTGACCTGACCTAAGCTAATTTCGACTCAAAATGACCTTGAATGACACAGACGACATCAAATTCGAAATCTATGGCCTAAATGGACCATAAAACATGTGTCACGTGACCGACGCATGATATAATATTTTCGTGACCTGTGATGACCTGACCCTGACCTGAAAATCAAAGTACAAGTTTGGTACCCTCAAGGTATCTAGAGCATCTGTTCACGAGTGTGGAAACCAAAAATGAGCCTGATCTGACTTGTAAGACGGCGGCCAGAGCCCAAAATGTGAACAAGCCAAAGTGCTAATAATTTTTACTTTGACCTGACCTGTGACGTCATCGGTGACCTCGAGGTCAATGAAATTAGGTTTCGCTCGACAGTTTTTCCGGGGCTATCAGACGCCGTTTGAATTTTGACGATCGGCCCAGTAGTTTCGGAGTTAGGAGGGGGGGCTATGAATAGCCCCCCCCCCCCCCCAGTAGGGCGTGTTATACACAGACCCCAGTGGGGCGCGGGTTAAGCGGTTACGCCCCTGGGTACATCTGCCTGATCTCAGGAGCTAGATTTGGAGGTCATACTTGAAAGCAGCCAGCAGGATGAGGCAAAAGTTGGAGGCCCCTGAAAATAGGAGGCCCGCTGGAAAAGGAGGCCCCTTGACAGGGTGGCCCACCCACTTTTCATGACGTTCCTACGCCCGTGTAGGATCTAAGTTTTCTTTTACCAATCATCTTATACAAGACTGGCAAGTGGCAGCGCTCAATTATAGACAGTTACCTATGTCAGACAATATAAATACCTAGATAATGGTAATCGTCGGCGTTTTTGTGTGTAGGATGATGGCGTATGACAGCGATAGTGGGACGTTTATCGTTATATCCCAATCGCTGTCAAATGCAAAAGAAGGGCACAATGGAAATCGGCAGCACAAGCCACGAAACGTCCTAGTCCTATTTTTTTTATGCCTACTGAACGGAGAGACCGGTTTTGATAATCATGATCTGGTTTTATTTCCGAGAAAGGTTGGTCCGTGACTTGAGCTGAGTAGGCTCGAATGCACTGCGACCCTCCTCTCCCCAGCAGAAAAATCGGCGGGCTCAGCCTAAGTATCTTGGCTCAGCCCCTGCGAGCCCCCTGGCTCCCGCGTATATGTTTTAAGGCAGCCAATGGTTCTGAATTGCGCTCTGTACCAGTCGTTCACTGAGCGAGCCACGATGAATTTATTTACAAATAAATTTACAGTTTTTGGATGTCTGTAGCCCTACCTACCTATCGTGTTTTCGTCGCTGATTCGCGCTTCTAAAAAAAAATGTCACCTGAAATAAGCAATGCATGATGCAGCAAACCCAGCAAACGATCCCCGTCCACCGCCAGACGGGGCCTGACAGTGCTGCCATCTGTTCCGCTAGCCTTCGGACCACGTCCTGCCATCTAGTGCCTACAGCGGGCAACGGTGAGACGCACAGGATCAGTCATAGCACGGTTACGTACGGAAGCTCTTATCGCATATGTTCGTATCGCAAATGTGAGGCACCAGGAAATATGCGCACGCATGATATATCAGCTTAACGACGGATGTCGTCACTGACCAAAGAACGTAAAACAAATGTAAACACGGTATTTTAACCGCCTTGGTAGGTAGGGGATAAATCGCATGTGTATAAAAGCAGGCTGCACGTCACAAGCGACAACCGTCCATTCACCATCACAAGTACCACAACCTCGTTTCGCCAAAAATGCCACTCATACTACATCATAAATTTATTGAGAGCCGTCATTTTGCAGATGCCGTCTCCATTCCGCATAATGTCAGATGCAAAGAAGAAATGACGGCCGCAAGCATTTATCTCTCAGTGATTCCAACGCAGCACCATAAGAATTCGAATATAGCACACAGTTCTATGCTCATTATAATACAGCCCAGCAGCCTGCAGCATACGCACAACCACATCACGTGCAAGGCAGTCGGACGGCCCATCCACATGCACTCACTATGTCGGCCCAGTTATCGACCCACAGGTACACATGTTAAATGATAGCAGAGTTTATGCCTTTCCTCCCCCTTAAACAGACTTTCAAATAGCCTCAAAGCATAGATAATTACAGTTGGGTCGGCAGAGGAAAGTGACAAACTGGTTCTACATGTGCTATCATATCACATCACCAGACTGGACATCTAAAAACCAAACCAAATATCACTCAGTCTGTCACGTCCAGTCGTTCATAGCAGACGGGCCATTTTCCAACAAGTGCTGATTGAAGCAGAATGACAGATTCAACTGATGCACTGAACATGAGCATCCCTGCAGCAACATCAGAGCTAGGTGGCTAACCAAAGCTGACAGGACCACTGAAGAGTGCTTTGGTCGTGTCTAAACAGCAAGGACTTTCAAAATCCCACGATCCCCTTCCAGACTGCCCCACTCACCCCTCCATTCCAAAGTCCTCGCAGAACTTCTCCACCTTCTTAAGATCTTCGTCGTTCACGGTCGGCTTGGAGCTGGCCATGGACTTCAGCATGTCGCTCATGTTGACGACTGGCTCCAGCAGCTTGTCGCCGTCGACGTCCATCCAGGACATCTCGATGGCTCCCGGGTCCCCGGGGGAGCAGGGGGTGAGCAGGTCGTCCACCGTGGCGTTGGGGTCCGACCGGGACGGACCCCTCACTCGCTTGAAGTGGGTGGCGGTCTGCACCTTCCTGACGGGCTGCATGAGGGCATCCCGCACCACGATGCTGATGTCAGCGCCGGAGAAGCCCTCAGACTTGTCTCCCAGGGTCCTGAAGTCCTGCTCTGTCAGCATGTGCGGAGTGTTGCCCAGGTGGATTTTGAACATGGCTGCCCTGGCGTGCGACTCCGGGAGGGGAATGTAGATCCTCTTCTCAAAACGTCTGCGGATGGCGGCGTCCAGCACCCACGGGATGTTGGTGGCTCCCAGCACAAGGATGCCATCTGAGTCATTGCCAACACCTTGCATCTGGACCAGGAACTCAGTCTTGATGCGCCTGGCTGATTCAGATTCATTGTCTGATCTTGAAGAGCACAGTGAATCAATTTCATCAATGAAGATGATGGACGGCTTGTGCTCCCTTGCTAGTTCAAACAGGTTTCGCACCAGCTTCTCTGACTCTCCCAGCCACTTTGAGACAAGGTCAGCAGATGAGACTGAAAAGAAAGTCGAGTTTGAGGCCTCTGTTGCCACAGCTTTGGCAAGGTAGGATTTACCTGTTCCTGGGGGGCCAAACAGGAGAATTCCTTTCCATGGCTTTCTCTTGCCAGTGAAAAGATGAGGAAACTTGATGGGTAGGATGACAGCTTCCTTCAGTGACTCCTTTGCAGCATCCAGGCCTGCAACATCTGACCATTTCACATTCAGGTTTTTCTCCATGACAATAGCCCCCTCCAGTTTGGACAACATCTTTTTCTTGTCAGGGTCTGAATCAGAGTCAGAATCAGAGTCTTCCTTTTTCCCACTTCCTCCATCTTTAACAGGCTTCTTGTCCGCTTTACCCTCTTGCTTCTTCAAGTACTCCTTCAGCTTTTCCGCCCTTTCGAGATACTGAATGCACTTAGCACGGATACTTTCTTTCCCCTTTTCTGACTGAGCCTCATATTTCAAAGAGTGAAGGAAATGTTCCACTCCATGTTCATACAGTCTACAAGCTTCTGAGAAGTTTTTCTCGCGATCAGCCTCAGTGGCTTTGGTGACCAAGTCTATGGCCTTTTGCAATGCTGTCCCAGATGCCATTGCAGTAGGCTATTGTGGCGCAGCCAAATGGAAAAATAAATATCGTCTCCCCAGTCTTGGATGTATAGCCACAATAAAGCTGGAGCCAACAAAAATTCAGCAGCTAACACATACTATTAGGCATATCATTCACACCCACTTGATGCAATAAAATTCGTGAAATATCCCCAAACATAGGACTACACCCCACGCCACTTTCGTAAACAATTTACGTTCACGATAAAACCGTAGATCAAGGTTTTAGAAATAAATACCTTGCATTACTTAAAAGAATTTGATGCTAACAAATTACATCATGATACTTCCTATGGAGTTTTTAGTGCTAATCAATGCCAATATTCTTGTAGGTATTTTAAATGTTTTATGGTGAGGAAATATGCAAGTGCAATCATCATGGAAGTATTCTCTTGAAAGAGACAGAGTCCATTAAATTTGCATTGGATCATTGACTTTTTTAGGTCAATGCATATTGCATTGGATCATGAAGTTGCATTTTTTTGACACGTTATTTCTCGTTTTTGCTTTTGAAAAAATGAATAAGTTCACAGATTTTGAAGATCCCTTCATTTTTTTAAAATAATTAACTGTGATGTTATACATGCTATTCATGTAAAACCAAGTAGAACGAAGACTTTGCATTCATGACGTCATTTTAAGGTATGATAGCATCGACTTGATGCAGCTGCTCACGCTCACGTTCAGTGCGTTCACAAAATACTGAACGTCTTATCTGCGCCAATCAGCAGGCTGAAGGGGAAAATGTAGCAGACGAAAAGTTTACCATAGATAAATAAAGTTGAAAAATATACCTACCTACGGAAGCTTGAAGTTAGCCAGTAAGTATGATCAATTTGCATTATTTTTGTGTTTCTGCTTATCAGTTAGGCACTGATGTTGTTTTCTTTTAGTTCATCTGATCAAAGCACAGTTTGAGTTAATATTGGATGGTAAATATCAATATCTAAGCTCAGTTTAAATCATTCCGAGGCTGGTGTGTCCACACAAGTCTCATTGCTAGTGTGGATCAATTTTTACCATTATTTTACGATTATTGGTGATACATGTAAACTCTATCTCTTGTCTTACCTTGCAGTGTGGGCTCGGTACCTAGGTGTAGGGAACATCACAGTCAAGAGCAAAGCTCTAGCACAAGCAGGGACAAGGTGAAAAGGGACAGCATTTCTGTAAAACTATGCATTGATTCTACAGAGTTTTGCCATTAATTGACTTGTTTGCAGTCACTTTTGCTACTGCAGTGATCTAGCACCACTTGATAAGCATAACTTAGCTGTGCTGATCCTGCCACCAGTGGCCTAATTGACCTTATCCAGGAGTGACCTGAGTGACCCTGTAGCCTATGAGTAACCTGCCTGACCCTGTTTCACTGGCAGGCTGAGGGAGGATGTCGGTGGTGCGGCGGCAGCAGCGGCAGTCGGAGGAGCCCGACTTTAGCCTGCCAGACGTGGCTGAGGTGCCTGCACTCAGCTGCCAGCCGCCCAGCAGCCCCGACCAGAGCCCAGAGGCTGATCGCTTCTTCGACACACACGATGATCGTCTGCGCAGACAGTCATCCCGCTCCTCCACCGGCAGGTTAGTCTGGCACCGCTCACCACTGACCATTGTCGGGTGAGGTCCAGTCCGCTTCCTCAGTGAAGGCAGGAGCAGGTAGTCTCTGGGAGATGGATCCTAGCATTATACTGCCTTGGCTATGCAATGCCGCACTACGACACATCTAGCCGGGCTTACCTTCCGAGCAGCTGACTTGAACTGAGATAGTAAATTTACGAGTTTGAGGCTCATAGATGCTATTTGTGATTTAGCATAATGACTTTTGGTAAATATCAATGAAAATCATCAACGTAGACCTTTGGACGAAGATAGCTGAATTGAACGTATCGAAACACAACACGGCGGATTCTGTGACCCTATGCGGGGCCACGTACCGGCTTTCCGTCTCGGGACATCCTCGGTAGGTATCTGGCCACTGCGGTAAGCCCGGTGTAATCCTTTTAACACACTCCATTCGTGAGGCACGCCGCAGCCGGCTGCTTTGTGTACAATGTGATCCTCGTAACGTAGTACTCCGTAGATCTGAGATCGCCCCGTAATCCTACGACAGGTGCCAATTAGCTCCGCGACAAGGCCGGACCGCCGCGGTAATTCGCTTCTGTGGATTGGTCGCCGCAGACGGCTCGAGCCGCCGCGGCACAGGCCCGGGTCAATGCGGCAGATCAGCGTTGCATACGGCCGGCGGCGGTCCGTAGATCGATGGCGGCCGGTCCGCGGCCGCCATCTGGCCCCGCTGGAGCTGCGGGTCTCCGTGACACCGCGCCGCCGCCGGCCATGCGGGTGAACCGACGCATTGAGCGGTTATAAGCGCAGGATGTATGCACATTGCACAACTAGTTGGTGGAGTTCCGAATGGGACGATTTACACAGCAAAGGATATTGAATGGTTGAGAGAACAACGTCGCACTAAATGGTTCGGTAAAGTTTGCTCTTCAAAGGGCCCTGTCAAGTACGCCAACGACCAGCATGATACCGTTTGATGCAGCGCTCGCCGACGATCACTGTAGAGCGTTGTGAGGCCAGATGATACCTGCCAGCCGGGACCGTGCCGAATAAAATCAGCATTGCCGCGAGCTATTGCGGTGGTCTGGTACCCGGCGCTCGCCCGTTGCTAGGCGGACTCCCTGTCAAGGTGAGTTTTGCGGGCGTCGGAATGCCCCACTAATGCATAGCGGGTCCAAACTGGTAGGGTTGCCATCCAAAAGGCAGTATACAGCTCGTTGATATGATTGGCGACGGTTTTGTTTTTGGTATGTGAATTTTATATGGACTTGTAACAATGAGATGGTGTTTTAAACGGACATGTCTTCGGATGAATCATTAAGTGCCGATCCCATTAAATGCTCGTGGCATGCTACGTCGTCTATCGTCAAGTGTGCAAGATTAAATTTATAAGAGCGTCGGGATTGTTCGACATTGCTACGAAACACGTGAAATAAGTGTCGCGTGATATTTCGCCGTAACCCATCGGCTGAATCTTTCAGTTGACACAGTATCAAGGTCAATTAGTCAGACAGCTTTTTATGGTGTTCGCTCACCACCGCTAATCTTTTTCGCTCGCCATTCGGTGCCGCCATTTCCCATAGGGGCATTCCACGTCAAATCGAACAAAAATCGGCTGTTTTGCACCTTACCATCAGCGATTTCATTATAAATTTGTGAGCGAGTTCCTGTGTGGCCCCGGACATTATATTGATGTTTTTTGCACATTCTGACCACAGGTCTTCTAAATATAGGGCATCAAATTTTTACAAAATGTTGCATCTTTATATTTTTGAACGACCATAACTTTGGTTGTACTTGTTTGATTTGAATGAAATAACCCTTACTGTTTAGGTAATTTCTTAAGCATTTGTTTAGAATTGCACCTACTTAAATATATGACCTTGAAATTTGCTTAACTCTGTTCTTAAGCACAAATATCGAAATAGCAAAAAACACGTCACCTTCGATTTGGCTCATTTTCATATATTTTATTGCCTACCATATTCTTAACAACCTGTGAAAAAATTAGAGTGGGCCATTCATAAGTTTTGAAGAAAATCGCACATATGCAAACATATGTTAGCACGCGCAGTGGAGGAGGAAGAGCGAATTTCGCCCACCCCTCCTGTTTTTCTCCAATATCTCATAAGATTAATGCGAAATTAATTATGGCTACCTGTCAAGAATTGAATTGGACATCTCATCGTGCAAGCAATAAGAAAATCGGTTCACAACTGTTCTAGTAATAGCGGTGTAAAGTGAACATCCTGTCGCCGCAGCGACGCGGCGACTCGGCAGCCGGCGCCGACCGCTACGCGCCGCCTGAATTGTAGACTGTGCCGGGACGGAACGGAGCGGTTCCGTCTTTACATCGCGCTCCTTACCGCTGATTACGTTCGATTCGCGTCCAATTTTGTGAGAAGACTAAGAAATGTACAGGCAATCTTATGGTGAAAGAATTTTGAAAATCGGTTGGTAAACAATTGAAATATGAACGTATAAACAGAAAATTGTGATTGCTGCATTTCCCGCATCGGCCGAGCCCGCCTTGCAGCCGGCGACATGTTACTCTTAGCAGGCCTTTAACTGCCATATTTATTATTGGATTAACTAGAAATTCCCCATACATACTATAAAATGTATGTTCTTTCGTATAGTGAAGATCAAAAGACGTGAAGTAATCGTTGCGTGATAATGTTTTCGTTGAATTTACTTCATGATGCATTTCCACACGGCTCAAAATTCACCGCAAAATACCGTTTGCCTGAGACACTTTTACTATGGAACGTGAATGGTTGACTACGATGACTATGCATTTCCATTCTCGCAGAGTTTAGGATATCACTAATCAGCAATCATTCATTTCAGAAAGTGTACACAAGCAAGCATGTCTTGACTCTGTCTTTCAAGGTCACGCGCTGTTGCGTGATGTTGATGCATGAAAACGGCGTTTGCCGCGAAAGTTATGAATGGCCCACTCCAATTTTTTCACAGAATGTTAGGAACATTGTAACGGACATAATATGTAAAAATTAGCCAAATCGAAGGTGACGTGTTTTTTGCTATTTAAATTTTACTGTTTTAATTCAAGGTCAAAAGCATTTCAAGGTCACTTCAAATTAATTTTATAATTAAAAATCAAAGCCTTATCAATTGCCTATAAGACCCTGTTAATATCATTTTGATACCAGAAAAGGAACCAGAGTTATAGCCATTTAAAAAATTGATGTGTGGCATTTTTCGCTATATTCGATGACCTATATCTCAGCGATACGTTATCAAATTTCGAAAATATTATACGTAACTCAGTTTTGAACCATGCCCAGTCTGCCTACAAAGTTTCAGAAAAATCGAAGGGGATGACGGATTTCGGTGTTTGATTTGACGTGGAATGCCCCCATAGTCACGGCTCCCCTTACGTGTGACGGCCGATAGCGTATCGCCCGCGAGCGATTAGCAGCGGCGGTCCATCCGTCCGCGCCGGTACAGCGGCACCCCGCGGCGCCCGGTGGACGGCGGGACGGGCGGCCGGTCAGTCCTGTGGCGACCGTCGCGGGATCCTGACGATCGGTCTCACCTGCTGTCGAGAGAGTCTGTGGTGAACGAGAGCGCAGCGGCAGTGAGAGGAAGTGTGGAGATAGTGGCCGAGGAAAGGGCGGCGAGCGGTCCAGGAAAGAGGGAGGAGTGGCAGAGTGAGCGGCCGAGGTCACCGGGAGCAGAATGGGCGTTGCCATTAGCGAGGCGGCTGTGGAGCCCCCGTGCGAGCCAGACAGTCCCAGGTTAGCGTTACGTCCATGGTCGCCCTAATTCCTAATGACATGGCTCTTTGTAACGCGGCAGGAAGTTTATAACGTGAGCTGTGTATGTCAATCTGATTGTGACTAAGCTACACCAAATATCATTAAGCCTAACCCTGAAGTCGACACACAGCTAGTGCCTTCCGTCGATTCACTGACTCGCTGGTCATATCCAAACCACAACGCCAGCACTATTCGGCTTTGTTGAGGGTCGCGATTTTTACCGACCGGCCCATAATCAATGCACGAATCGATAGTAAAACGGACTGGCACCACCGCCGCGAGCCGCTGCATGCATACCCTTCCCCCCGGACCGCGAGTGGTGGCATGTGGTACGCTCTGACGGCGTGACTGTCGCAAATGTCTGGTATCTATGGCCGTTGTTGGTAGTCATGCTGAATTTGTGATAGAAGCGACGCTCGTAAATGTGTCGGTAAATGTGCGACGTGTTCTGGACCGCCGTATTTTTAATGCCATTGCAGTTCATGACAGGAGTTATGCATGTGCTGTATAATTATGTGGGTAATTATTTATCATTTTGGTGTTCACGGTATGCTTAGTTTATCGGTATCATTTGCATAATAAATTGAGCGTCATGCTATTTTAAATATCGAGTTCAAAATGATCAGATTTCTTGCTTGATGATTTTTAGTCTAGTCCCTAGTCACCAAGCCGGTGATGTTTTAGCCGAGTGTCCGTCCTCTCTTACAAACTCGTCACGTCCCTGGTATAACACCTCACCGTCAGCCCCTTATAACCCCCGCCTACCCTCGTTTCAGCCGCAAACTGACGTCGGCACGCTCGTTCGAGAATCTCCACCAGACGGTCTCCTCTCAAAGTCTGCCCGTGCAGGAGAGCAATGGGTGAGTCCAGGACCCCGACCGGTCGGGCCCCGTCCCCTACGCTGGCGCCATGGCAACCCCTCGCGTGTGCAGGCGAAAACACAGACACCACAACGGCGGCCGCCACAGGTTCGTGTGTGTAAATTGGGCGCCGGTCGTAGTGCTGCTTACCGATGGAGTCCCGAAGGAATACGGCGCACCACTTTTGGCGATCGCCCGGGCAGAGTTGCCGACCCTGTCCCTTCAAGATACCGACACGAGATGGAAATTCCACCGCTTTACCGCCTGTATCGAGCTTGTTCCATGAAGTGTGTGCGTCTTGGGGCCTGTGGACTGTGTTGTATGTTTCATAAATGTGTATGTGTCTCAGTGGTAATGTTTGTCCGTTATTGCTATTCTCATTCCTGACCGTCCCCCACGTCTGGTATTTGCTCTGTGTATCTGTTTGACGTCATACACTCAGCTGTCCACCGGTCACTGTCTGCTCGGCCATGTGCGGAGGCACGTCTGTACTGTATACCGGCCGAGATGTGACGTCACACTGGCCGGCGTGTGACTGCACGGCTGTGCTGTATACCGGCCGAGGTGTGAGGTCGCACTGGCCGGTGAGTTCCGGCCGAGTCCGTCCGTGTGGTCGCTGCCGTGTGGTGTGGGTTGAGTTTTGGTAGTGTCAGCTGACGTCTTCTCTGTCATCTGTCCCGAGTAGCTCCTTAGAGGTAAATGAGGTGTGTTGCACATTTATTCGCCGCGGCCGTCCTGCAGTGCTCGACAGTACGTTTCAACATGCTATCTCGTTTATGGGTCTCGAAGACTCAGGAAACTAGCTGTAGGACTGTTACCAAGGTGCAATGTGTCGTGAGTTTCCGCATGTGTGTCTGTTAAACTCGGTTTTATCGCCTGGTTTCATGACATGCCCAGTCACCATCCACTGCTGGTATATCCGGTATCGTCGCCCATCATGGTGCCTGTATCGTGATTCGCACTATTTGCGATACCGTGCGTGTATCGTATTACCCGTCCCGGTGTCATGCTGTGGTGTGCCGTTCGTTAATCTCGCCTCTAGTTTTGCGTGTTTGTGTCGGGTTTATATGTATTGTGTGCGGTGCGCCGCAGGTGTAGGGCATATCTGCAGGCATAGCCTGTCATTCCCTGTCATTCCTCTCTCAATGGGCGCATCTCTCTCCAACCACCGTGTAACTCTCATTTTACCCACCCCCACCAGGTCATCTACGGGCCCAACGCTGCACCGGTCTGCCAGCAGTCACAGCACGCCCCTTCCCGGCGGCGGTGGAGGGGGCGGAGGGTCCGGTCACAGACGCTCCAACAGCGGCGCGGCGATGGCTCCGGCAGGTCCCCCGTCCCCGTCCACCGCCGGCCCGGGACTGCAGGAACAGAGTCGGGCCGCTTCGGAGACCGCCCGAGACGGACTGGGCGACTTCAGTCGACAGGTGAGACTTGGAGAGGGAGAGAGGCGAGGATAAACAGGAGGGTAGTCACGAAAAAGGAAGGAAGCAAATAATTTTGTGGTGGAACTTGTGTCTCGCCGTCTCGGTCGATGAATAACTAGTGAGTCGTCCAGTGGCCAAAGTTTTAAGTACGATTAATCAAAGATGGCGTTTTGATTTTGCCTGCAATCCCGAAATGACTCGGGCGTCTACAGAACCGTCAGACGTCAAACAAACTTTTATATCTCTAAATTATTCATCAGTGTTCTCGGGTAGAATCCAGGTCGGCTCAATGGGAAGACGCTCTGCTGAATTGACGAGGCTATCTGCGCGGAGTGCCTTGATCAAGTTGGACTTTGATAATGCATTGTCTTCCTGAGCCCGATTGCTCCCCTGGATTAGTTCGTAGTAGGTGCTGTCACTGTAGGCAGCTGTTAGTGGGCACGACATACGATCTTTTGGTGTGTACTGTTATCTGGAGCATCCTTTTGGTACCAAATTTGTGCGGTTCCTGTTGTTTATTAATGGCAGCTTGTTCGCCTTTCGGTAACACGGTACTGATTCCGATGTTTGTAAGCTATTTTACAGAAGCGGAAAATCATCAGCCCTTGTAGGGGAGGAGGGGGTCGATGCCACCATCATCAACTATTCATTGTCTGAGGCGGATAACTTTTACTGACCTGACCTGACGTGACCTGATGTCCAGCAGGCGCTGAGCGACCCCCGAGGTCCTGGTCACCGGCCCACTTCACGGCTTTGTGTGTGTTTGTGTGGCTTCAGTCGCTCCTAGGCTCGCGTCGTGACCTGCCATTGCCGCCCCGCCGCCCGGCGTGTTTGTCTGAGTGAACTTTGTCCCCGTTCGGTGTCAATATTAGCGGCTGCTGGCGGCCCAAGACGCTAACACGAATGATGTCGCATATAAACATAACATTCACTGGGTGCTTCCTATGTGATCGCATATTTCTGGTAACCACAAATAGCAAGGTTCAATTGGGTTCATCACCATCAAATAACATTTGGATGTTTCGCTGCATTGCGTCTGTCCCGGTTACCATGACAACTTGCGGGGCTAGTGGTGCCTTTAGCCGCTAATATTGTTACGCCCAGCTGGAACTGAGAGTCCTTTTGTGGATATTGGTCTCTGTGAGTGGAGTCTGCAGTGGTTTGGAGGCCGGATGGGGACTTCCTCCTCCGAGTGATGTGGAGTTGAGTGCCTGGAGTGGTGTGCAGTTAGCTACACTTACATTGGTATTCTGCGGGACAAGCTAATTTTCGATTAATTATTTACGTTATGATTAATTTTTAATGCTAGGCAATAAGTATGAACATGCAGTGTTTGTCTTATTAACGACCTTGAATATTATCTCAACAAAATAGGAAGAAAGTGCGCTTTCTTATGTATGTTGTTAAGTGAACTTCTTTTATTATCTTCCTATGTCCCGAAGTGGATAACGTCATATGTTGCCTCACATATGCACTTTAATTTTTACCATCAATTAAGTGAGTGACAAATGATATGCCCGAATGGCGCAAATGCTCGACCCGAATGCAATACGAGTGTTAGCGTCAAACAGATCCAAAGTCTTTGAATTATAAGTTTTTTTTTTGCCACCATCAGAGTCAGATATTGGTGGCCTCAGCCGTTCCGCCTGCCGAACAGGCGTTATCAGTTCGGTTTCGTTATCAGTTCGGTTTCATGTCCTGTTATCATCCTGCTTTTTAGCCAGACGGTTTTCCCTAATTGGCTCAGTCTCTTTTTTATAAGATCGGAGATTCATTTGGCTTAGCGCAAATGTATAAAGCGTTTTCTTCCGAAACATTGACGCTTCAGCACTTCAAATCGTCGCGTATTGGTTTGTTTGATATGGCAACTAACCCGACAGCTTTGGGTCAGATAGCGCTATGTAGGCAGCATGTTACATAGGCCAACTTCCTTTGGTACTATGCCTTGAGTTTATGAAATTTTCCTTACAGGCTTCCTTCCCGAATCAAGACTTTATCAAGTCTCGTAGTTTCAGGAATGTGTCGCTTTACGCTTTGGTGTGACAGTTGAACCATGCTAGTCTTGTATTCTGATGTAAACGGTACAAGTGAATGATTCTGTTGTTTAGTGCCGAATATTTTTTAGGATGTCTTGTGTGAACTTATGAACATTGAACATGCATACTTCCTTCCTCTTCTCGTTTTCTCAGTGTCTATCATATCAACTATGCATTCCGTGAGCCCAGGCGTGTTCCTGCTTTTCTCTTTCATCGAGCTTGGCCAATGGTCATACCCCTATCCCCTTACCTGTCCTCTCAGACTGTCGATCGAGACTCTGTCCCCCTCCCCTCCACCCCTCTGTGTGACCTGACCTGACCTTTCGACCGTCAGGAGGCGGGCAGCGAGGCGAGTCTCTCGGTGACTCGGCCCGACTCCACGCGCTCCTCCGACTCGGGCAGGAAGGAGAGTAAGCGGGCGCGCCGCACGCCCTGGTACAGCCTGCTGCGGAACACGTACAAACAGCGCTGCGACGAGTTCCGACGCACCTTCGAGATACCGTCCGACGAGCGGCTCATTGTCGGTCAGTGGGGGAAGGGCGGGCGGGGGGGGGGGACTGGAGCTGCGGGTGGGGAACTGAGAGGGCGGGGAGGGTGAACAGGAACCATCGGAGGTGGGACACGGTGTGCAGGATAGTGGGTCTTGACTAGCTTACTTGTTGTCCGTTGACCGTTATCGAGGTACGTTTGGCCTATTCGTTTTTCTTTCTTTCTTTCGTCTTTTGCGCCTCTGATGTCAATGCTTTCGAGAGGCGGCCTCGTGGCCTGCGCGAATGCGCCCGTCTCCTGACTCTCTCGCCCCCCTTCCCCCGGCAGACTACTCGTGCGCCCAGGTAGACGTCGGTAAAATGATCTACCACGGCCGGCTGTACATCTCCCAGAACTACATCTGCTTCACTTCCAACATCTTCAAGTGGAACGTGGTACGGTGTCTGACGTGGGTGTCGGGGACGTGGTACAGTGTTTGACATGGTTGCCGACTGCCGGGGGATGTGGGTGGGGTGTCGGGGGGGGGGGGGCGTGGAAGTAGGTTTGGGCGTGCCTGACTTCCCGGAAGGAAAGAGATAGCTCAGTGGGTATGGCGTAACCACCCGGGGCTGTTATCAGGCGGTTGTGGGTGGCCATCCGGTGTTGCATATGCTTTTATGGTTTCCGTCGTGTGTGCATTGTGTTTATCAATGGGTGGGAGTGACACAGAACTGGATGTCTGAATTTCATGGATGAATCAAATCAACACTGTCACCGTTGACATGCAACTTGTAAGATTCTTTACCGTAGCCGTAAAACACTTTTATTGTAATTCACCAAAAGTCATTGTCTCTTATCTGCCTATCTCGGTGCGTACTAAGTATCATGAGAGTATTAGCGGTCGTTTTCCTGTGTTTTCTCCGCCCTGCGACTCTTCTTCCCCTTGTCACGTCTCCACGAGATGAACACGACCCTCTCACTGTCACATTCCCCTGCCGTCAGTCTTTCTGCGTGGCTCTGCGGGAGGTGCGGGCCATCACCAAGATGAACGTGCTCGTCTTCCCATCGGGAATCAACATAGAAACGGCCTCCGAGAAATACGTACTCAGTTCCTTCGCCTCCCGGGACCGCGCCTTTGTAAACATTGAGAACATCTGGCGAAACTGTATCGACAAGCAGGTGCGTGGTGGGGGAGGATGGGATGGTAGGTTGGTGAGGGAGGGGAGGGTGTATTGGCGATGTGTTGTTGGGGATTGGATTGACATTGCGCAAGGGAAGGTGGCAGTTACTATGGCGATTTTATAGGTGCTGCTAGTGGCTCTCGGTGGATGAAGGTGCACCGACTGTGAGACATGTAGGTGGCGCGCCAATCGGTATACCGCTGCAGTATGCACTGTGCAGCAAACGATGTGTCTTATCCTACTCAAACCTATTCTAACAATGTAGTGCCAAGAGTCTGAAACGAAAGCATTAGCTTCGCTTCTGACCCGGGCTTCTGCAATAAAATGTATCTCTTATTCCACTTTGAATTTAACTTAAAGTCGTTCGTCTCATCTCGCATATTTGGATTACTTTTCTCCCCGCTCACAATCGTTGTAACCGTTATCATGCTCTACGTTATTTACATAATTGGAATGCCGATATTTCTCGACATCTTTCGCCGTCTCAGACATGAGCCGGAACAATTTCCATTAGTGACAAATTGCGGGTGTGGGTTGTATGTTTCCACCGCCAAGTCACGTTGCCCCGGTAACGTACTGCTGACAAGCTCATTGTGTATTCGACGTCTCCTAGCAACCGTGTCGTTAGCGGCACCGAGCTCTTCTTCGATAAAGGCGCCGAGTCTACCACAGACCGAGCTCTTCCGTCCTTGGAAGCCGGAAGTCTCGGACCGCTCCGACCGCTTAGGCAATATCGATACACTTCCCCTGAATAGTCATTTAAGTCGACCCTCCCTTGTCCCGTCCCGCCGCACTGTGCCACTCCTCCCGTGACTCCGTGACTCCGTGACGCTCCCCGTGACGTGTTGTGTCACCATGGCCAGGTGTTGTCTGCGTCACAGCTGTGGCAGATGGTCCACGAGTTGTACGGTTCCGAGCTCGGTCTGACCAGTGACGACGACGACTACGTGGACCCCAGCGCAGAGGACGACTCGTCCAACAAACTGCGCGCCAGAAAAGCAGCCAGGGTGAGTGCTGGAGGGGAAGGAGGGGAAGAGGGAAAGAGTAAGAAGGAGGGAGTGCCTAAGAAGGACCCAGTACAGTCCGAATCAGGGACTGTACTGGTGAAGGTGAATTTTGACTGAATCCTGTAACCCATTGACAGCTTGATCAGGCTGTGCACAAACTGTATGGCTTGTAATCTCAGGCGACAGAAGTTTCAGCAGGGTTGTGACTTGTGAGCCGTCGTGCTCGTCTTGTCAGTGGTCGTTTGCGGTGGATTGGAAGTAACAGCAATGTGTGCTCCTTTTCGGCATTGTGGGAGACGGTATGCTACATGATAAGAGTAGCTCCAGCAAATGCCGCAGGTAGTCGTTCTGTAATGGTGCTGTATGGGACGTTTATTGCTACGCCCGGTAATGTAATGATCGTTTACGTCCAGTGATGCTGACAATCATCTTTGACTGCTTCCGTGCTGGATGCGTAGTTCGATTCAGACATGGAACGAAAGGGGTTGAAATTTCCTCTTCGCTCACTAAATCGCACCTTCCTCGTTTGCGTTTCGTTGTTAGAATAGGCAGAAGGGCAGAAGGTACGATATTGTCTGGAGAAGGATGGCATCGTTCGGGAAGGCATCACTTGATGATCATAAGCTCATTACATAATGCATCCGATATTGACCCCTTGTTAATTTTCTTTCGAGAACACCGATTTCAGCTCACACAAAAATAAAACTTTTTTGGAATCCCCTTCATTGCCTTAATTTGTCGTAACTCGGCTCCTACATTTACATGCTGTAAAATGTACATGCTGTACATTTTGTCCGTGACTACTGACTATCCCCTACATTCTATTCGCGTCAAATGCATGTATGCCTACTGGACTGTCCCATCCATTGATTTCCTTCACGCATCCTGTCCAGTGTCCACATTACATGAACCAGTTAGTGTCAAGCCTCACGCACAGACCCAGCGCCGCTCGCTGTACGACTGGTGTCCGGTGAATGGTTCGACCGCACCCATTGTCAGCCCCGGGGTCGGCAGTCACCTGCTCAACACGCCAATGGCCGCGGCCGTGTAACATGGCTACCCCCTCCCCTCCCTCCATCGCTGTCACCTGTTATGGCGGTGCCGTAATGGCATTTGGTGTTTGACGGTTCGGTATTGTAGCCGCGCGGAGGTGCGCTGACAGCCGCCGCGCGAGCTGTACAAATAGGTCGCGAGGGACACTTTTGCCAGGATTGATCTAATGGCGTGCATGTTTGCGTATTTACTTGTAAGGCGATGGAATAGATTGCACATCATGTTCCACGAGTCGCGACTGCGGCGCTTCATGCTATTGCCGACCAAGTTACAGGCCTCGGAGTCCGCTCTAAGAGCCTGGGAGTTAGCCCTATCAACCAGAGGTCCATTGTTATCATCTCCGAGATTGCTTACCGTCAGGCGTCAACAGCTCACTGTTAAGGCTGAAACAGACTCTTTCCGCATTCCGGAAATCGCACGAGAGAGAATAGGCTCTCGCATGCGATTTCCTGACTGCGGAAAGAGTCTGTTTCAGGCTTTACCCACGTTATGGTCGCTGATCCCCCATGTAGCCTTTCTGTCATCCCGTCTCGCACAAAGCTCGCTCCATGCCCGCTGTATCGTCTCGGTGTTCTGAACGGGTGACTCACCCTCACACCGGGCCCTATGCCAGGTCGGACCCGCGAGCCAGACGTTTGGCCAGCCGTAGTGCCGAGATGACGAGCGGAACACATGGAATTTGGCCTCAGAGTCTATAACTGACTCCCGAGTGTGGCGGCCGGAGCTTACTCATTCAATGTTGCAGTAACTGATAAACTATTCATTGTTCTTTGACTACCTGTTTTTAAAGTAGACACAATGCGGTCAGGGTATTCTTTTCAATATAGTTGTTCATTAGACAATCGGTATATGCTCGTCAATCACTTGCCCTTTTTGCTGTGCTATCCAGTCTTATCTAGCAACCCACAACCCTTGACATGCCGTCGCGGATCAGACGGATTTCCGTTTCCACTCGGTGTTTCGGGGCTTCCTATCGTCGCCACACACTGACATCAGTGGCCACTTTCGGCCCCTGGTGTAGAAATACCCCACAGATCGGTCCTGCGGGGAGGGTGTCCGCGACCGCAGGGCCCCGGTGCCAAAGGCCGGCTAATTTTAGTCGCCGTCGCCACTGCTGTGCTGCCAAGTGAGCTGTTTGCTTTTGGTCGCTGATTATGCGCTCACGCAGCTGTTTTGCTGGTTTGGAATGGACTACAGGCCATATATCGTCGATGGCTGGCTGTTTCGTGATGTTTAGGTGATGTCGGCAATAAATTGGCGGTGTTTATGCGCCCGGTCTGTAGATTTGGCTGCCGATTGGTCTGATGACGTGATTGGTGTGGAATGTGATTGCTCGTGGATCTGCATGGCGGGAGCGGTGCGCAAGATTTTTGTTCTGTGTTGCAGTATTCTGTTGGCTCTAAAACGGAGGATAATGGTCATGTTTGGGTTGGCGCAGGATTGTCTGGTCCTTTTCATATCGAATGTTGTTATGTGGGATGTGCTTGCTCAGATGGGAGCAGTCGAGAACAGCTGAAATGAAAATATTCAGGCATTGTATCCTCTTTGAGTCGTCCTAAACAACTGAACTATCGAAAAGCAAAGTGATATCTTGTTCGAATAGCGGTTATCAGGGGCCTGGTGTCTACCAATCTTGGGATCTCTTTTTTTTTACTAGAATGGGTTGCTGGTGTCGCCTGTCTGCCCGTCGATGTGGTTTTGGCGCGGTCGGCGGACGCCGCAGGTGGTCCGACATTCACCGATACGGAATCCGATGTGTGCCCCGCGGTCAGCTAACCCCAGCTGCAACCTCCCGGCTCTCCAACCGACCCTGGAGTGACATACCGGCCGGTTCAGACCGTCAGACCCCTGGCAGCGGAGAGCGTGCGCCGGCGGCAGGCGGTCCGTGGGCCAGCTGGCAGCGGCTCGCGCTGGCCGACCGTGGCCCGGTGACCCCCACCTGCCGACGGCAGAGAGGACGGTCAGTGGGGCGCGGACGGTGGCGCTACAGAGGGCTAAGGGAGCTCCCAGAGGACCTCAGAGAGCTGGTGTGTTGGGGGGTGAACTCTGGTGAACTCAGGAGGACTGTTGTGGAGGAGGTGAACGGTACAAGAACGGACTCTGGGAAGATTCCCGGGGGCGGCTTCTTTCTCTGCAAAGCGTGTATTTGATACACTGAAGCTGCTTCCTCGTCCGTTGGCGCCTCGAAGGCCAGAGCTGGGATGGTGGACCACCCCGAGCCAGTGAACACCGCCCCTGAGGACCACGAGCCGCCCCCGCCGCCGGCGCCCCCAGCCGCGCCGTATGCGGCTCCGACCGCCTCGCCGGCCTCGGCGCCCGCTCCGCCGGGCCGTGGCAGCGTCTGTGACCTACTGCTGCTGACAGACATGGCCGGAGAGGGACTGTGCCTGCTGGAGCTGTACCAGAGGCAGAAACAGTGAGAGCCGTGGCTCCGTGAGTTCATGATAGTTAGATAGTACGGAAGTGCGTGAACCCTTGATCCTCGTGAGTCTGCGAGTCAGTACTTCAGTGAGCGCCATGAGTCTGAGTTCGTGAGTGTCTGAACTGAGTGATCCTGTGAGCACCTCGGAGACAGCAATGGCGGCTGGATCGTCGGGCGGCTCGTCTCCGGTGGGCAGCAGCTCCCCCCAGACGGGTCGCTCCCAGCTGTCGGCCAGCGGCTCCCCGCAGCCGGGCCGCTCGCACTCGACCGGCTCCAGCCCGCCGGCCTCGGCGCTGAGCCCGCTCTGTGCCGGCGCTGTGGCGGCCGCCGGCGGTCCGCTGGCCGGCCTGGTGCTGCCACAGGTGGTCGTGGCACAGCCGCCACACCAGCGTCGCCGGCGACACACAGTCATGGCCGCGCCCGAGGTAGGTGTCCGCTCCAATGGCGAGTACTGACATCTGGCGGCCGGAGGGTGTAGTAGAGGTTCGGTGGATGACCGTGGGTGGTTAGCAGCGGCGTTTTGTGTTTATTTTATCACGCTGGCTGAGGTCATGTGGTATTCGTGAAACTAGCGACGTATGTGCTCTGTTTTCAGTGTATGTTTCCATTGACTTGGTTTCATTTCTAATGGCGGTTCCCTCCATCCCTGTTGACCCACGAAGCCACCAATTATCGAGCCTGGCATTTTTTCGCATGGTAGCTAAGACGTCTCAACACGTCTAACCAGACACTTAGCTACTTCATCGACCAAATGAGTCGTTAGTCTTCTGTTATGACCATGGAGACAGCCGAGGGCGGACGCGTCTCGTGACATGGCACGTGTCAGGCCGTCTGGTCCGGTCGGCAGCTGGACAGTGCGGCGGCGGCAGTGACAGGCTTCAATTCAGTCCAGCGAGGTCCAGTTCTGACGGGTGTGAGAGAGAATATCGGGCGAGATCAGAGGGATACCATTGAGACGTTTGGCTGGCGTCGACGAGAGGCGTGAAAAGGCTGAGTGGTCAGCTTGTCATCGGAGACTTTCCATAGTGCTTAACTGAGTTTGTCAAAGCGCTGGAGGTTGTCCCTCCACTGGACCTCGTCTTCGGCACTACTTGACAGCGCTGTGAGGTCGTCGCCTGTCTCCCTCCGCCGTCGGTCAGTCTCCCCGGAGTGCCGCGCGCCGCAGCAGTGAGCGGACTGCAATGCGACTGCCAATGTCACGCCGAAAGGCTGGTCGATGGCCTGAAGCCCCTCGGTCGGCGGTGGACGGCGCGCCGGCCGACTGGCCGCTGGTGCTGGGCAGACGGCCGCCGTCCGCTGCCGGGCGCGAGGTGCTCAGTGAGCCGAGCATGGCGGCCGGGCCGCGCAGCCGGTCTCCGCGCTGGCTGCACCGGCACCGCCGGCAGGCGGCCGGCAGCCCCGTCTCCGCCTCCGCCTCCGTCTCTGCACTCCAGCCCAGACCGCTCTCGGTAAGTGTGAGATGGTTCCGGCGGCTCGTCGCTCCGTAAATATATGTGTCGTCGGTGCACGCAGATCGTACGATCTG